GAAGCTGAAACAGCCGTGCCGAGCCCCGTCGTGCCAAAGCGAGTGTATCGTGAAAACACTTCGCCACACATGGCACCAAATTAAACCAGAGTGCCTGTAATCTCAAATGAACGTATATGACAGGCAGGCACCAACACTCACACTGCCTTCTGTTTGCTTGGCGGCCACGCCACCCGTGCGACAAGTTTCCGGACTTGAGCTATTTACAGATACACGCGATTTTGGCACTACCGCCGCGACAATGATCACAGGCATAAAATCTCGCCAAATGCTCCGACCGACCCCATTTTTTTTCAAAACTGCTGTATGGGTCAGGCGCACACTCATGCAAGGTTTCGGGGCTATGCAAGCAGATGGCGATGAGTTAAACACACCGATGTTTTGACCCCGGGCGAACTATACTGAAATGCCTATCATAAATATATACAGCAGGAAAAACACCGCAAAACCTCGTCAACTTTGTGTTGACTGCGTGAGAAATGAGTTGGATGTGACGGCGGGTTAGTAATGAAGTCATATCCACTGGTACGATTAGCGCATGGAAGCCGTCCGAGATTGAAGCGTTGTGGAGTGCATGGAGGATGAGAGAGAAACAAACTCGTGTGCTGTGGTTGCGTTGACGAAAAGAGCGGTGAGAGTACCTACCAACGTTAGCAATTCGTGATTATTCGCATGCGCGTTAGGTATTGAAAAAAAGTACCCAACAGAATCAACGCTCCCTGACATGCGTTTCCTTTGGTAGTGGTGTGGGTTGGGGGCGAGACGCGCAAGGCACAGGTAGCATGCTCACGGGAAGCCCCAGATAATACACACCCGGTATGTCCTCGACGTGGAACGTGGAAGGTTGATGCAATACTCCTTGGTGTCGTACACCGACTGCGTGCGTGCACGTATGTGTGTCTGTTCCGTCGTCGTTCCGGGTGGCTTGTCATGTCCTGGCAATGACCATGTTACCCTAGCTGATTCTAAGCAATGTATGCTCTACATCGGCATACCAACACCATGTGATTCAACTACATGCTGCGAGGAAGCAGGTAGGACCGTGGGTGGTGGAACTCTCCCGAGTGAGATCTGTCATGCGACGCAACGTAAGCATACGGGCGCAGGCAGTATGGGTTTTGCTGATCGCGAGAGGGGGGGGAGAATCGCGCTCAAGTCGGCGACACAGATTTCCCGCAAACACCAGAATCCTCGTGAAACACTCGTGCAGACACACCAGCATATCACAATAGTCGGTGATGTACAAGCCGGGCTACGATGACGCCACTCCAATGACAGCATGCAACACCGCACTGCGCCAAACTCTTTCGGTATTGTACAACATTGGAATAGATGTTTGAATACTGGTTTGGCTGTTCCACGTTAGCCGGTATCAATCGACCACGAATACCAGCGGAAAGTCTTGACGCGAGACGAACATCACCTCACATTGGGGACTGCCAGACCATTGTTTATTTTGCCGGCCACAGTTGGGGCAATCGGTGGTATGTTTAACCTCCCGCCAAAGTCGCTTTCACGATAGAAATCTCAATCTTTGAACTTGGCAAATTCCTCAAATCTTCAACCTTGTTAGCGTGACAAGCATCCACTGGAATGCAAAACCTTCACCATCTTTTCCCGTGTTGTCGTCGATGCTGACCGAGATAACCGGTCTGTCCTCGGCGGGAGACGTCCACATGTATGTACGTGCGACAGTAAGCGATCGAATCATCACCCGTCGCAAATCATGGATAATCTCTCGACTTCGTCACTCCCCTTGCGACCGTGGAGGGGAGGTACATCTGTAGCCCAGGTATTTGTGAATCATGGAAACATCGGCCTTGCGAAGCGCGAACCCAACGGGTACGCCTGTGAAATTTCTGTACCCTTCTGGGTTTGGTTATGGCCCACTCTTCGTTTGTTTGTGCCTACGGCTACATGAACGCTCGTAGTCCATGCGAATACAAGGTACTTCTGTGTAGTGTGTGTATGTCTGAAAACAATGATTGAAACACCAGCTTTACGGAGCACGAACCGCACGGATACCACTCTAAAATTCATGTATCTGTTTGGTTTGGTTATGGCCCGCTCTTTGTTTGTACCTAGGGCTCCATGAACCCTCGTAATCCATGAGAGTACAAGGTGCCCACGAAATGACCAATATCATCAACGCCACTGACCTACCTTTCCTTCCATATACTGTGGGTGGGGAGTTTGGCGCAAAAGTCACACCTAGCGTGCTCACGGCAAGACCCCATATATTTTTGATACCCGGTTTGAAACCAAACGCTGCATGAACCAATGAACGGGCTACACTCGACGTGGACGGTTGTTGTTGCAATGATCCTTGGTGTCAGACACAGAAATGCGTGCACGAATGTGTGTTTGTTCCGTCGTGGTTCCCGGTGGTTTGTCGTGTCCTGCAGAGATATGTGAAGAGTGGGATGGAGAATGCCCGGATGGCCATGTTACCCTAGCCGATGATACTTTCTGTTGGGGCCTATGTGATGAAAGTACTTGCTGCGAGAAGGCAGGTAAGACCGTGCGTGGTGGAACTCTCGGTGGTGAGCTCCGTTATGCGACGCAGCGTGACAAATTCGGGCGCAGTAGGTTTTCCGCTGATCGCGAGAGGGAGGGGGCGGGCGGAAACGCGCTGAATTCGGCGACACAGATTTTCCGCAAACACCAGGACCCGCGTGCATCCCAACGGCATCGCGATAGTCGGAGATGTATACGTCAGGCCTTGAAGACGTCACTCCCCTGGCGAAAGGGCAATTAAGTATTACTGCGCGACAACCCTTAAGGTATTGCGGAATGTCGAGATTCTGTGTAGTGCGTGTATGTCTGAAAACAATAATTGAAACATTATTTTTTCTTTACGAAGAACGAACCGCACGGATACGACTCTGAAATTCATGTGTCTGTTTGGTTTGGTTATGGCTCTCCGGTTGTGTCTACAGGGCTCCATGAACGCTCTTAGTCCGCGAGACTAGAAGGTGCCCACGAAATGACCAAAATATGATCAACGCCACCCTGACCTGCCTTTCCTACAATATTGCTGTGGGTGGAGTGTGGCGCGCAAGGCACACCTAGCGTGCTCACGGCAAGACCCCATATATTTGTAACACCCGGTTTGAAACCAAACGCAGCATGTACTAGTGAACGGGCCGCACTCGAAGTGGACGATTGTTGTTGCAATGATCCTTGGTGTCAGACACAGAAATGCGTGCACGAATGTGTGTCTGTTCCGTCGTGGTTCCGGGTGGTTTGTCGTGTCCTGCAGAGATATGTGAAGAGTGGGATGGAGAATGCCCGGATGGCCATGTTACCCTACCCGATGATACTTTCTGTTGGGGCCTATGTGATGAAAGTACTTGCTGCGAGAAAGCAGGTAAGACCGTGCGTGGTTGAACTCTCGCGAGTGAGCTCCGTTATGCGACGCAGCGTTACAAATTCGGGCGCAGTAGGTTTTCCGCTGATCGCGAGAGGGAGGGGCGGGCGGAAACGCGCTGAATTCGGCGACACAGATTTTCCGCAAACACCAGGACCCGCGTGCATCCCAACGGCATCCCGATAGTCGGGGATGTATACGTCAGGCCTTGAAGACGTCACTCCCCTGGCGAAAGGGCAATTAAGTATTACTGCGCGACAACCCTTAAGGTATTGCAGAATGTCGAGATTCTGTGTAGTGGGTGTATGTCTGAAAACAATAATTGAAACTTTGTGTTAGCTTTACAAAGCACGAACCGCACGGATACGACTCTGAAATTCATGCGTCTGTTTGGTTTGGTTATGGCCCACTCTATGCTTGTACCTAGGGCTCCATGAACGCTCTTAGTCCGCGAGACTAGAAGGTGCCCACGAAATGACCAAAACATTATCAACGCCACCCTGACCTGCCTTTCCTACAATATTGCTGTGGGTGGAGTGTGGCGCGCAAGGCACACCTAGCGTGCTCACGGCAAGACCCCATATATTTATGACACCCGGTTTGAAACCAAACGCAGCATGTACCAGTGAGCGGGCTACACTCGACGTGGACGGCTGTTGTTGCAATGATCCTTGGTGGCAGACACAGAAATGCGTGCACGAATGTGTGTCTGTTCCGTCGTGGTTCCCGGTGGTTTGTCGTGTCCTGCAGAGATATGTGAAGAATGGGATGGAGAATGCCCGGATGATCATGTTACCCTACGCCGATGATACTTTCTGTTGGGGCCTATGTGATGAAAGTACTTGCTGCGAGAAAGCAGGTAAGACCGTGCGTGGTGGAACTCTCGGTGGTGAGCTCCGTTATGCGACGCAGCGTTACAAGTTCGGGCGCAGTAGGTTTTCCGCTGATCGCGAGAGGGAGGGGGCGGGCGGAAACGCGCTGAATTCGGCGACACAGATTTTCCGCAAACACCAGGATCCGCGTGCATCCCAACGGCATCCCGATAGTCGGAGATGTATACGTCAGGCTTTGAAGACGTCACTCCCCTGGCGAAAGGGCAATTAAGTATTACTGCGCGACAACCCTTAAGGTATTGCGGAATGTCGAGATTCTGTGTAGTGCATGTAGTCTATGTCTGAAAACAATGATTGAAACATATATTAGCTTTACAAAGCACGAACCGCACGGATACGACTCTGAAATTCATGCGTCTGTTTGGTTTGGTTATGGCCCACTCTATGCTTGTACCTAGGGCTCCATGAACGCTCGTAATCCATGAGAGTACAAGGTGCCCACGAAATGACCAAAACATTATCAACGCCACCCTGACCTGCCTTTCCTACAATATTGCTGTGGGTGGAGTGTGGCGCGCAAGGCACACCTAGCGTGCTCACGGCAAGACCCCATATATTTGACACCCGGTTTGAAACCAAACGCAGCATGAACCAATGAACGGGCTACACTCGACGTGGACGGTTGTTGTTGCAATGATTCTTGGTGTCAGACACAGAAATGCGTGCACGAATGTGTGTCTGTTCCGTCGTGGTTCCCGGTGGTTTGTCGTGTCCTGCAGAGATATGTGAAGAGTGGGATGGAGAATGCCCGGATGGCCATGTTACCCTACCCGATGATACTTTCTGTTGGGGCCTATGTGATGAAAGTACTTGCTGCGAGAAAGCAGGTAAGACCGTGCGTGGTTGAACTCTCGCGAGTGAGCTCCGTTATGCGACGCAGCGTTACAAATTCGGGCGCAGTAGGTTTTCCGCTGATCGCGAGAGGGAGGGGCGGGCGGAAACGCGCTGAATTCGGCGACACAGATTTTCCGCAAACACCAGGACCCGCGTGCATCCCAACGGCATCCCGATAGTCGGGGATGTATACGTCAGGCCTTGAAGACGTCACTCCCCTGGCGAAAGGGCAATTAAGTATTACTGCGCGACAACCCTTAAGGTATTGCAGAATGTCGAGATTCTGTGTAGTGGGTGTATGTCTGAAAACAATAATTGAAACTTTGTGTTAGCTTTACAAAGCACGAACCGCACGGATACGACTCTGAAATTCATGCGTCTGTTTGGTTTGGTTATGGCCCACTCTATGCTTGTACCTAGGGCTCCATGAACGCTCTTAGTCCGCGAGACTAGAAGGTGCCCACGAAATGACCAAAACATTATCAACGCCACCCTGACCTGCCTTTCCTACAATATTGCTGTGGGTGGAGTGTGGCGCGCAAGGCACACCTAGCGTGCTCACGGCAAGACCCCATATATTTATGACACCCGGTTTGAAACCAAACGCAGCATGTACCAGTGAGCGGGCTACACTCGACGTGGACGGCTGTTGTTGCAATGATCCTTGGTGGCAGACACAGAAATGCGTGCACGAATGTGTGTCTGTTCCGTCGTGGTTCCCGGTGGTTTGTCGTGTCCTGCAGAGATATGTGAAGAATGGGATGGAGAATGCCCGGATGATCATGTTACCCTAGCCGATGATACTTTCTGTTGGGGCCTATGTGATGAAAGTACTTGCTGCGAGAAAGCAGGTAAGACCGTGCGTGGTGGAACTCTCGCGAGTGAGCTCCGTTATGCGACGCAGCGTCACAAGTTCGGGCGCAGTAGGTTTTCCGCTGATCGCGAGAGGGAGGGGGCGGGCGGAAACGCGCTGAATTCGGCGACACAGATTTTCCGCAAACACCAGGATCCCCGTGCATCCCAATGTGATCCCATGTAGTCGGGGATGTGGACGTCAGGCTTTGAAGACGTCACTCCCCTGGCGAAAGGGCACATGAATATTTCTGCGCGACAACCCTTAAGGTATTGCAGAATGTCGGGATGGGCATTTGTCTTGATACTGGTCTGGCTGTACCACGTAAGCCGATATTCTTCGGCCACGCACATCTGCCGACAGTCTCGACACGAGACAAATATCATGGCACATTTGGAACCGCCAGGCTAAAGGAGATCCGTCCCTTGTGTGCTTCAGGCCAAGGCTGAGCAGTCGGTGGTATGTTGATCTCTCCCCCGAACTGGCTTTCACGGTCGAGATTTTTGAGCTTAGCCAATGGAGTTGGATCTTCAAACATGTTGGCGCAACAAGGCGCAACACGCATGCGCCGGTATGCAAAGACTTGACTATCGTTGCCAGTGTTGTCTTCGATTTTGGCATTGAAAAATGGTATGTTCTCACCTCCGAGAAACATGTCCGCATGTACGTGCGACCGGAAGTGGTTGAGATGGATATTATTTCGACTTTATAACTCCCGTTTCGAACGGGGCTTACATGTAGGTCTGTACATATATAGTGCATGATTCATGTGTGCAGAATCACAGAAACATACGACTGTTGTGGATTTTACGTAACCATTTTGTTTAGTTTTGACCCACTCTTCGTTTGTGCCTAGGGCTCCATGAACGCTTGTAGTCCATGAGAATACAAGGTACTTCTGCTGTGTAGTATGTGTATGTCTGAAAACAACAACGGAAACATCAGCTTTACGAAGCGCGAACCGCACGGATACGACTCTGAAATTCATGTATCCGTTTGGTTTAGTTATGGCCCGCTCTTGGGTTGTGTGTACCTTATGGAGGGCTCCATGAACGCTCTACGTCCACGAGACTAGAAGATGCCTACGAAATGACCAATGTGATCAACGCCACCCTGACCTCCTTTCCTACAGTATTGCTGTGGGAGTGTGGCGCGCAAGGCACACTTAGCATGCTCACGGCAAGACCCCATATATTTGACACCCGGTTTTTCGGCCAAACGCAGCATGTACCAATGAACGACCTGTACTCGACGTGGGCGGTTGTTGTTGCAATGATCCTTGGTGTCGTATACCGATTGCGTGCACGAATGTGTGTCTGTTCCGTCGTCGTTCCGGGTGGTTTGTCATGTCCTGCAGAGATATGTGAAGAATGGGATGGAGAATGCCCGGATGACCATGTTGCCCTGCCTGATGATACGTTCTGTTGGGGTCTTTGTGATGAAAGTACTTGTTGCGAGGAAGAAGGTAAGACCGTGCGTGGTGGAACTCTCGCGAGTGAGCTCCGTTATGCGACGCAGCGTTACAAGTTCGGGTGCAGTAGGTTTTCCGCTGATCCCGAGGGGGGGGGTTGGAAACGGGCTGACGTCGGTGACACAGATTTTCCGCGAACATCAGAATCCTCGTGAAACACTCATGTACACATGCATCCCAATTGTCGGGGATGTACAAGTCAGGCTTTGAAGACGTCACTCCCTTGGCGAAAGGGCACATTTGTAATACTGTGCGACAGCTCTCTAAGTATAGCAGAATGTCGGGATAGATGTTTGGACATTGGTCCGTTCTGTTCCACGTGAGCCGATATTCTTCGGCCGCTCATATCAGCCAAAAGGCTTTTGATACACGAGACAAATACAACCGTCACATTGTGAACTGTCAGACTATCCGAACATCTTTGTATACTCCCGGTCGAAGCTGAGCAGTCGGTGTTATGTTGAACTCTCCTGGGAAATCGCTTTCACGTTCGAGATCGGTGAGCTTGGCATATGACTTGGACTTCAAACATTTTAGCGTAGCAAGCATGTGCTGGTATGCAACACCTTCCACCATCGTTGCCAATGTTGTCTTCGACGTTAGCCGGATCTGGTGTTTGCCGTAGGTGAGATTCGTCTGTACATGTACGTGGTACAGGAAGCTGTAAATCTTGCCCGCGTCAATCATCACGGATTATTTCTCGACGTCGTCACTCCTTTAATAAACTTGGCGTGGAGGTACATGCGCCATGTGTTTGAGTCGTGTTTTCGAGTTAAAGACTCACCAATAACATGGAAACATGAGCCTTACGAAGTGCGAATCACACGCAACTTATTGTGTCCATTTGAGGTTTCGATCTACCTTCAGTGTGCATCAAGGGCGCCGGCAACGCTTGTGGTCCATGAGAAAACGAGGTACAACCAATAATGACCTATGTGATCAACACCGCCTGCCTTGCCTTTCCTAAATCCCACTGCCTATCCCGGCCCCGGCCCAGGTAAGAACGTTCGCACATACATTTGGTCATGTGTCGACCCTGTAGACCGCCTGACCACGTTCGTGGGTTGGTCGTATGAGCTCGTGGTATGTGCGGAAAGTACATACTACTGTAGATTATTGGTTTGCGGCCTTTACTTCGTGATCTTACTTGTTGGCGACAGCCCGCCGATCGGATGGGTGATGCACAGAGTGATAGGGCACCTATACCACGCGTTCACTCCATTTCCCATCTTGTCACTTCCCGAGTTTAGATCATGGTGTCACTCATCCCGCGTCTCCCTGACGTGTCAGACGCAGCGGTCGCTCATTGTCAGCACCGGCGAGCCAGACGAAGAGAGGCATCGCGACCCGCAATGTAACGAGACCTGGAAAACTGACGGAGCTTACCGAGCCACGGTTTTATATTGGCCCTACTTTTCGACTCCCTAATGCCCACCATTCCCTACCGCGATTGTTTGGTAGAAAACGATCGCCCTATAGTTCGATTAGAAGTACATCTAAAGAAAACCGGCACCAAATACTGCACATCTCGGACAGAAAAATAGGTTATGCCTCGAACGCCTGGGAACGGTACTGTAAGCGCCGTTTGAGCATGTTTCAGGCATGACGACACGCGAAGGAATGCCTGCGAGTTGGCATGGACTACAGTAATACGTTTGTTTTTCTGGAGTCTCCACCCTTCCTCCCTACCAGCCCACCTTTTTCGCTTTCAACACGCCGATAACGTTGAACTAGCGGGTTCACGCTAGCAGCAGAAAGAAAATCCAGTTGCATCATCCACCGGTCATTGGAGGATGCTGTGTTGGGTATCAGCATCATGTGGTGAAGTGTGGAGTTCAACACTCCGCATAAACCACTATGGGTGCTTGTGAACAAGCTTCCCTCACGCCCATGCCAAAAAGGCACGGGCGTGAATGACTGTATGTCGGCCATCTTCAATTTTACATAGAATGTGGTGACTAACCTATTGGCAACATTCTTCCTAAGAGCTCCGTAAACAGTCGATGGGTGCGTGTCTCATCCCTTCGTCCGAGATATGCATGAAGAACTTGCACAAGATTTTTCCAAATTGATATCTGCCCCCACTTTGAGTCGGATCCGCGTTCAGCTTGTGCTACAACCAACTGCGCCTCTTTCGCTCTCAAATGGACTTCTACCTAAACGCAGATGATGACGACTCGAAGGACGACGATATGTGGGGCGACCCCCACATGAGAGGACTCCGTGGCCAGAGAATCGACTGGTATGGGGTAGACGGTGGTTGGTACTCCCTTATCAAGGACGACAATGCCAATCTCAACATCAACATTCGCGTCACCGCTCCTCTGCCTGACGAGTTCCCCAACCGCCAGCTGATGACCGGCCTGATGGTTCTATCGGAGGGGCACTCTCTTGTCATCGAGGTCGCAAACCCTTACACCATCGAGACGGACGGCTGTCCCGAGAGCGTCTCGCCCTGCCTCGCCAATGGCGGACTGCGCACCTACGTCGACGGCCAGGAAGCAGATGAGCTCCTTCGATTCTCCAGGCACGTACCGGTTGGAGACGGTGCCATCACTGTGTCGGCATCAAACCTTCCGGTGGAGTGCCGCCAGTTCGGCGGTGACAAGATATGGTCCCACATGTACAAGGACATAATCGACGGTAGGCGTCGGCTGCTCGGTGGTGAGAGCCTCGAAGAGTGGATCTTGAGGTACGACCAGAGCATGACGGCGCGCCGCTGGTGCGCCAAGTACATCGCCGACAACGACCTCGCCGACCTGCAATCCACCCACGCCGTCTTCAAGATCGAGACGTCCACAGTCACGGTGCGCCTCAACGCTGGCGTCAACTACCAAGGACAAGGTGCTCTGGACTGGGATGGACGCGTCCTTCCTGACCTCGAGTTCTGGCAGATGGACGTCGGGATGGACGGACTGGACGTTGAGAACCCCGTGTTGTCCGGCCTCCTCGGTGAAACGGCCCGCCCGACGTACGAAGAGAATGGGAAAGAGGTTATGGCAGGGTTCGACGCGTTCCGTGGCACGGTTGAGGACTACCGCGTGTCCAGCGCTCTGGGCGTCCACTTTCCCCTTCTCGACAAAAAGGAAAAGGAGGAGGGCCAGGAGTAGAATCCTGCTTGGTGTACACGGCGGTCGGCATGTATACGTGTGATCTGATTTTTTGGGAGTTCTGGAGTCCCCCGTACCTTGGGCTCTCATGAGCTCCCTCTACGTTTACTAAATACTACATGCACAAGTAGATACGGATCTACGGAAACCTGGTTTCGTGGATCATGTTGGTATCGTATATGTTTGCGTTATTATTTCTCTCGTGTAGCGTACGAGCAGCAGCAGCATTCTTGCCGCCCTGCGACCAAGAATAATGAGGGGGGGAGTGTTGTGCCATGATTTTGGTAGCTGCACGAGACGTTTTCATTTCTTGCTTGCTGTAGTGCCCTGATGACGGGATTGTGATCAGATGCACTACATAGTAATTGTCTGTTGTGTTCGGGTTGATATTTGTATCTTTAGCCGTTTATTAACCTTTGTTGTCGGCATCCGCAACTATCGAGTTGACCTGGGAAGCTGGTATGTTGCCGGTTTATGAGTTTGCAGGTTTTACTTTCCTGCAACACTTTGGCAGAACGCTCAAGCTTCAGGGACAGGTGTTTGGGTAACGAGACCGCTGCTGGCGAGTGCGTTACGATAACCCCAACTGGGAGGAGATGACGCGGCAAGAGATGGAACGCTGTATACACTGAAGGCCGTCGCGACGCAGCAGAGGCCAGTAAGGGGGGGAAGCTATGAATTGTCCCTCGTGATCGGAGGAGCATAGGTGTGGAGGTGATACCCCGTATTCCACGCACTGTAGCTTGGCTCCGTTTGCTGTTCGTGTGAATGTATTATATCCGAATCGGGCGAGTGTTCGGTTTGTCGCTTGGACTTTTTTGTGCAGGTTGGTGCGCGTTGTCTTGTCACCGCGGAAACGAATGAAGTGAACAAAGCCGGTCAGTGAGTTCGAGGTGTTGACATCCAATACACCCACGTTCGGTACATCCTGCTGCCGCAGTTGCGTGCGCCAGCCACCGCCATGCCCAACCCCAATACAACTGGCATCGCGCTCTTGTCGACGCCAGTTTCAAATGGGATTGGGTAGTGTGGGATGCACCCGACCAATGCAGCAGGTGCCGAATATGAATGTTATCTTTGTCAATTCTCAACCTCTCTTGAACTCAGATTGATTTGCCCGTTTCGTTCACTTGCGTGGTATGCGACACCGACAACCATAAGGAAAGTACCCAACATGCCCAGGAATTTCAACAACTTTTAATTCCAAAACTGAAAAGTACATCCCGGCATCTCTCCGTGGATCCAGTATACGCCGGATCCTGTCTGCTCGTGGATCCTGGCGACCCGTAGATCCTGGGCTGCTAGCCGGATTTCATGTGAACCGCAGATCTACCTGCCAAATAAGGGTATCCAAACTCCGGAACACACGATAGCATACGACACTACAAAAACCCTAGGTACTAAATCTGCGAATGACTAAATAAAACAGATTCATTATTACGCTCGGTATACAGCCTCAGCGGCACCATTGAAGACGAACAACAATGAGCGCGGAAGCAAATCATCGCAATCAAGTCAACAAAAATATCAGAGACGGTGAAAAGGCAGGGGCTGAAAGCAACTGGAGAACAGGCGCAAGCCGAGAAACAAGGGCTGAGAGCGAACACGTTTGGGTCACGTTGTGTTCCAGGATTTCAGATGGAATGGAAACCCTCGTGGCATGGAGTGCGGCAAATGAGCACGGAAATTGATTACCGCTGAAGGTTGAAGTTTTGATTTTGCGGGTCGGTTCGGTGTGGCACCGAGGAGATCTACGAATAAGTCATAGAAGGAGAAAATAATTTCTCGAAAACTAACAGGAGCTTTCGCACGAAACTTGAGGAGGAAGGAGAAGCACGTCTTCGAACCAACTCAAAAATCTGTCGTTGCCATCTCGAGAACATCGACCGAAAAAAAAAAAAATCAGAGAAGACCCCGGAGATCGCCAACTCTAAAACGAAGTAAGCACGGAAAAGCGGCCTATCTGGGTCTAGAACCTGGGGTCAGAATCGAAATAGGTTCGAGACCTTACGCTAGAGACTACAGCCCTAGGAGGGCTTCAGAATACAGTATTCTTACAGCTCCATGCCACAAGAAAGAGCGAACCCTCAAATGGGGGCGTAGCAGGCCTAGCCCAAGCGTCTTTAGGTTGGATGGGTGCATGTCCTACCACCTAGCTTCCGGGTGCAAGGTTTTTCACAACACTACTGCTGCCGCCTCCATGCTCAGAGACCAATAATAAAAACCCGAAAGGCCGCCATGCATCATCCACGTCCAACGGTCAACCGTGCTTGCTGGGAATAAACACACACACACGATCCTGGGCTCACCCACCCAACACGCCGTGAGTACAAGGTGCCCACGAAATGACCAATATCATCAACGCCACTGACCTACCTTTCCTTCCATATACTGTGGGTGGGGAGTTTGGCGCAAAAGTCACACCTAGCGTGCTCACGGCAAGACCCCATATATTTTTGATACCCGGTTTGAAACCAAACGCTGCATGAACCAATGAACGGGCTACACTCGACGTGGACGGTTGTTGTTGCAATGATCCTTGGTGTCAGACACAGAAATGCGTGCACGAATGTGTGTTTGTTCCGTCGTGGTTCCCGGTGGTTTGTCGTGTCCTGCAGAGATATGTGAAGAGTGGGATGGAGAATGCCCGGATGGCCATGTTACCCTAGCCGATGATACTTTCTGTTGGGGCCTATGTGATGAAAGTACTTGCTGCGAGAAGGCAGGTAAGACCGTGCGTGGTGGAACTCTCGGTGGTGAGCTCCGTTATGCGACGCAGCGTGACAAATTCGGGCGCAGTAGGTTTTCCGCTGATCGCGAGAGGGAGGGGGCGGGCGGAAACGCGCTGAATTCGGCGACACAGATTTTCCGCAAACACCAGGACCCGCGTGCATCCCAACGGCATCGCGATAGTCGGAGATGTATACGTCAGGCCTTGAAGACGTCACTCCCCTGGCGAAAGGGCAATTAAGTATTACTGCGCGACAACCCTTAAGGTATTGCGGAATGTCGAGATTCTGTGTAGTGCGTGTATGTCTGAAAACAATAATTGAAACATTATTTTTTCTTTACGAAGAACGAACCGCACGGATACGACTCTGAAATTCATGTGTCTGTTTGGTTTGGTTATGGCTCTCCGGTTGTGTCTACAGGGCTCCATGAACGCTCTTAGTCCGCGAGACTAGAAGGTGCCCACGAAATGACCAAAATATGATCAACGCCACCCTGACCTGCCTTTCCTACAATATTGCTGTGGGTGGAGTGTGGCTCGCAAGGCACACCTAGCGTGCTCACGGCAAGACCCCATATATTTGTAACACCCGGTTTGAAACCAAACGCAGCATGTACTAGTGAACGGGCCGCACTCGTAGTGGAAGATTGTTGTTGCAATGATCCTTGGTGTCAGACACAGAAATGCGTCCACGAATTCATGTGTCTGTTCCGTCGTGGTTCTCGGTGGTTTGTCGTGTCCTGCAGAGATATGTGAAGAGTGGGATGGAGAATGCCCGGATGGCCATGTTACCCTACCCGATGATACTTTCTGTTGGGGCCTATGTGATGAAAGTACTTGCTGCGAGAAAGCAGGTAAGACCGTGCGTGGTGGAACTCTCGCGAGTGAGCTCCGTTATGCGACGCAGCGTTACAAGTTCGGGCGCAGTAGGTTTTCCGCTGATCACGAGAGGGAGGGGGCGGGCGGAAACGCGCTGAATTCGGCGACACAGATTTTCCGCAAACACCAGGACCCGCGTGCATCCCAACGGCATCCCGATAGTCGGGGATGTATACGTCAGGCCTTGAAGACGTCACTCCCCTGGCGAAAGGGCAATTAAGTATTACTGCGCGACAACCCTTAAGGTATTGCGGAATGTCGAGATTCTGTGTAGTGGGTGTATGTCTGAAAACAATAATTGAAACTTTGTATTAGCTTTACAAAGCACGAACCGCACGGATACGACTCTGAAACTCATGTGTCTGTTTGGTTTGGTTATGGCCCACTCTATGCTTGTACCTAGGGCTCCATGAACGCTCTTAGTCCGCGAGACTAGAAGGTGCCCACGAAATGACCAAAACATTATCAACGCCACCCTGACCTGCCTTTCCTACAATATTGCTGTGGGTGGAGTGTGGCGCGCAAGGCACACCTAGCGTGCTCACGGCAAGACCCCATATATTTATGACACCCGGTTTGAAACCAAACGCAGCATGTACCAGTGAGCGGGCTACACTCGACGTGGACGGCTGTTGTTGCAATGATCCTTGGTGGCAGACACAGAAATGCGTGCACGAATGTGTGTCTGTTCCGTCGTGGTTTCCGGTGGTTTGTCGTGTCCTGCAGAGATATGTGAAGAATGGGATGGAGAATGCCCGGATGATCATGTTACCCTAGCCGATGATACTTTCTGTTGGGGCCTATGTGATGAAAGTACTTGCTGCGAGAAAGCAGGTAAGACCGTGCGTGGTGGAACTCTCGCGAGTGAGCTCCGTTATGCGACGCAGCGTCACAAGTTCGGGCGCAGTAGGTTTTCCGCTGATCGCGAGAGGGAGGGGGCGGGCGGAAACGCGCTGAATTCGGCGACACAGATTTTCCGCAAACACCAGGATCCCCGTGCATCCCAATGTGATCCCATGTAGTCGGGGATGTGGACGTCAGGCTTTGAAGACGTCACTCCCCTGGCGAAAGGGCACATGAATATTTCTGCGCGACAACCCTTAAGGTATTGCAGAATGTCGGGATGGGCATTTGTCTTGATACTGGTCTGGCTGTACCACGTAAGCCGATATTCTTCGGCCACGCACATCTGCCGACAGTCTCGACACGAGACAAATATCATGGCACATTTGGAACCGCCAGGCTAAAGGAGATCCGTCCCTTGTGTGCTTCAGGCCAAGGCTGAGCAGTCGGTGGTATGTTGATCTCTCCCCCGAACTGGCTTTCACGGTCGAGATTTTTGAGCTTAGCCAATGGAGTTGGATCTTCAAACATGTTGGCGCAACAAGG